GTGTGGTCATTAAATATGTATTCTGATATATGTTCTTCACAGAAAATGAGCCAAAGCCAGTGAGTCTCAGTTTGAAAAATTAAATAATTATATAATTTTTCTTTTATTAAAAAGTGAAAACGGGTCCCACAGACCGTACACCACACAAGGGTTAAAACAATGAAACAGTTTTTTTTCAGCCTTACCTCCTGCCAAAAAAAAAATACCCGAACCAATCTATTCTCACTTGGATAGTAGCACTGTGTTCCTCCTGGTGATGTTCTTATGCTTAAAAACTTGAGTTTTGGTTTAACTGTTTTTAAACATCTCTTTATTTTTAGAAATTGCCAGCATCTTTAAACTCTTCACCACACTGCCTGCTAGTCAGAAAGGCATGTGATGTTGAGTAAAGCTATATCTCAATTTCTAATATTTATTTCCACCTAAACCCTATTAAATATTTCAGTTTTAATTTAAAAACATAAGTTTTAGTTCTTCAAGATATAAAAATTAAATATCCCAATGTTTTCAATACAAAAAGACATTTTTACAGGATTTTACAGGAAATTATGTGTAGATGTGTTAAAATAATCACCTTAGAAAGAATGAGGTCACCCAGCCACCGCACACAGTCCACATAGTTTCTGTGAATGTCCCGTGTTGAAAAGTCAGGAAAGTGAATTTTCTCTGAGACGAAAGGCCTGAAGTAGAAACACAAACACAATGAAGAGACAGTCGTCATTGGAGAAAAAAAAGAAAAAAGATTTGTCTTCACATTTAAAAGATATTTATACCTGTTGGTTTTTGAGGGGTTATACTCGTATGACCCACGGATGGCCTTCTGCATCCTTTCAGAATTGATACGCCAAAGTTTTAGAGAATGGTCCATGCCACAAGACATGATCTTCTCACCCAGCAAATCAAAGTCCTACAGGACAGGAAAAAGGAATTCTGTTATTGTTATTAAAAGAATAAAGCAACGATCTAACATTAACAATACGTTTGTGAACGTGTTGATGTGAGGGGTGAACCAGAGGTGAATGACACTCACAGCGCTCAGGACTTCATCTCTGTGACCCTCCACTCCCCCAAATATAGCAACTAATGTGTCTGTCTGTATGTTCCACAGGCGCAGGGCGTGATCTAAAAGAAAATAACAACACATTTGATAAATGATTGATGTTCCAGCCACAAAACAATCGGAAGAAGATAAGGGACACAATATCACATGACCAAGTTTGACCTACCTTTTCTCTTGTAGTTAATTAGAGGTGTAAAAGTATATGTATGACTGTATATACAGTCAATAAACTTGTGACTCTGTGTGTGACTGTGTGACTCTGCCAATATACAAATTATATTTAGTTAAATGTTTGAACACCTTACCTTTGCTGACAGACAACAGGAGATTTGGGTCCCTTGGATGAAATTTGAGCTCATTGATGGCATTTCCATGTCCTACATAGTGCTGGACAATAATAAAGTATTATATTACATTACAGTATTTGACCTGTCCAGACAGATTAAGACTTATTTTTTTACATCAAAGTCAGGACAAATTTGCCATAATATGGACAAGAAAATACATTTTTGCCACTTCAATAAAAAACCCTCCATTTTACAGATCATAGTCAACAATATATTGTTTTGTTTTTAATAAATCAAATTTTATAACAGAATAATTATAATTTAACTAGATTTACTCTATTTTTGAAAATTTTAGAAAAAACAAATCTACTAGTTTTAACACAATTCATTCATTCACAATTAATTTTATCTAAATAAAAATCTACATGACCTGAACCATAATTTGACAGGTGATCTATGTGTGAACAAAATATTAGTCTTTTTAAAACAAAATGGTGGTTTCAGTTTAAAGCCACTGACCTAACGTTAAAACATCTAACATTTTTATAGAATAGCAATGCTTTTGTCATACCTTGATGCACTGCATTGAGATGTGATTTATGACCCGAATTATACCACGGGAACCAGCTACAGCGAGCAGTGGGTGACTCGTGTTGGTGTCGTACGTCCAGGCACATGTATAGAAGTTCTCTTCTGCCTTTTGGCATAAATGTAGTTAAGGAAAGCCAGAGAATAGGTCAGATTACCCAAGGCTGACATTACAGAATTATAGCTGGAATCTATGAAATAAACTTACATATTATAAAAGTATCTAAATCCAAATCAATTTAAATGATAAAGCATATTTAAAAACAAGCTGAAACCAAAGTGCTGTACAGTGACAATAAAAACACAGGCATAAAACTAAAATGGACATGACAGAATAATTCAGAAGACAATAGAACAGACAAAACTTGTACCAACCCAGTCAAATGCCAATATAAAAACAAATATGTTTTTACAGAGATTAAAAAGAAGAAGTGGGGGATATTCCTGGTGACCAGGGGCAGCTTGTTCCACAGTTTAAGAGCTGCAACAACAACAAAAGTGTGATCCCCTGAGCTTCAAACTTAATTTTGGGACAATTAAGTGCCACTGGCCTTGGGTTTGTGCAGAAAATTAGGCTGGAGAAAGTCAGACAGGTAGATAGAAACCAGACCATTTAAGTATAAGCCCAGAAAGCAGGAGAAAACAGGAGAAATATGTTATATATGACATGACAAGCAGGTAAAAGGATACATCTGCATCCACATAGGACTGAAGGAGCCTTATTTCTCCCTGAGAGTGACATTCATACAAAGTTACCTTGGGGAGAAACAGAGCATTATATTAGCTTCTCACAACAAAACTTAAATTAAAACGACATTTACAAACGTAGGCGAACACTATAGTAATAGTTGAGTTAAAACAATGTTTTTAGCTATGCATTTCTAAGCTGTTGCTATTATACTTACATGATTTTACATGCTGTGCTAAGGTTTTTCTTTCTAATAATTCTTACTTCAATTTATGACACATTGAATAATTTGAATTAAAAACTAATATTCTAAGTGCAAGGTAGGATAAAATATCCTTTTATATGTTTGGCATATCCTTAAAGTTTATGTTAACGTTGTTTAATATGTCAACACAAGTCATATTAATCTCTTTGCAAATAAAGAATGAAATATCAATGATTAATGTGGCCATTCATAACTCACCCTGTTGCTCCCAACAGTGGCAAAAACCAGAGGATCCCCCTCTTTGCTGTGCCAGTTGAATTGAACTCCAAATAATGGCTGACCGTGGTCTTCCTATAGAAACAAATGTATTTTTTAAAATCTGCAATGGTCACATGATGAATTGAACTAACAGCTTTTTGGTCTCACATACTTTCAGACTGTTAACACATTTAAAAGAGAATCTGCACTTTTTGGACTTCCACTTGCCCTTGCCCCAGCTCTTTCTGCCTGGGGCATTGGCAGTGTTTGTGGGTGTGTCTGGGCGCTCTGTGTTGGTGCCACTTTCAACACTGACAGCATCGTCCTGGAGAATAAAAAAAAAGAAAAGAAATGTAAATTGTGTCGAGTATATTCATTACATTTATGTAATTCATACCCAGGTTACTGGATATGAATCCAAACAATTGAAGAAATATCGGGTCGCAATTCACTTTGTTCAGCGAGCAGCTTTTATTTTGAGATGCACTGCCACAAGGTCAACTTTTCACTAGATATTTTTTAATGTGGGCATTTCAAACACTTTGTTAAGGAAAATAAGGAGAAAAAATGGCTGAGAAGGGAGTCTTTGCAGATGAACAACATACGACCAGAAACTTGTTCCAACTAAAAATTAATTATGGCACACGTGGTCTGGTGTTTTTATGGAAAGACCCTCCATCATCTACACCTAAAGCATTGTAATAGCGTATTGCTTGCACATAACACCCATTAGACGTAATGCTTGATGAAAGTTTCCTTCTAATAGAGATATATTTATCAAAACATTATTCTCTTTTTATGTTTACCATTACAATCCACTTTAGCTGCCAATGCTAACGCCCACTTCACTTTGCACTTGAACTGTTTCTCTACGAGTTCAAAGTCGGCGTTTTAAGAGCACAGTCGCAAAAAATAAACGTACATATATACACGGGTGTAATTGACATTTAATCGTGCTATGTAATACATTTAGCATTACCGTCCATTTGGAGCAGATCCCTGAATACAACAATAATAAACAAAAGCTAGCACCTAGCCGGCTACTTATGCTCTATGCTAACCGGCTAAAAGCTTAAAATTGTGCTCAGCTGTCGCTGCATAAAAGAACGTGGTGTAACTTCTTACATTCTCGTCTCCAGATATATCGGGGTTACTGTTCTCGTCACTACTCAGTTTTTGTTTTTTCGATGGTATTTCCTTTCCCGCTTGAGAAGGAGACTCGGACATGTTCTTATTTTCCCTCATTTTGGCTTAAACACCACCTCTTCCGGTCCGTCGCCGCCGCAAGCGTTGCTGGGTAACGTCACTGTACAAAAAATAATTAAAGATATATATATATATATAGTGTATTTCATTTATTTAAGAAACACAAAGTGATAATTATCTGTAAACAACGATTTACAACAGCTATACGGTATATTTTTGTTGAAAGATTTGTTAAATATACATTTTATCAGTCTGTATACAATACTTAAGATTGTTAAATAGTTTTAAGTGTTTTAAGATCATTAATCAACAATGGTGAGATTTCTCTTATGAGCTCATCCTTGTCCTCCAACACATTCCTGTTTCTTTGGGTTTTACTTGTAACCGGCAATGAGATGCATTACCCACCCCATACCAGACAAAGGAGCAAACCTGCTGCAAATGAACACAACCACAGTGAAATGCATGTTTAGTGAAATGTCAAAATTTAATAAGGGCAAAGTTTTTTAGGACATATTTCCTTTTTATAAAATTAAAACATTTATTTAAAAAAAATGTTAGCATGTTTTCTTTGAAATCTGAAAAAGTTCATCATTATCGTTCTCCCAGCAAGACAGCCTGCCAGGGTCTTAAAGTGAAGTAGCTTCAAGACATAATCATTTCTGCATCATCAAAAGAGGCTTCGCTCATCCCCTCAGAGAGCCCTTCATCATCGTCTTCTTTCTCCTCCTCCTCTTCAGCTGGTCTCTTTACTCCCCTCTGTTTCGACAGGGCCATGGCGTAATGAATGTTGTACATGTTAAAGTCACACCTATTAAAAATAAACATGATCAAATCATAGCTTAAACAGACAACTACATTGATATTAAAGTCGGGAAGTCGGGGAATTTTATGTATTGAAGCAACAAAACCACTTACAGTTTTGACAGGCTGTCAAAGTGTCTCTGGATGCTCTTCTGCAGAGCCTGCAGTGTGGGCAGTATGGCTCCAGACCTGTGTACAAAAGGAAACTCTCTCCACAAACTGGACCAAACAGACCAAATCCAATTTTGTTCTATGTGTGTGTATGTCATGAAACCTGTTTTTGAGCTTCTGTCCATGCAGCATGAGCAGATTCTGGGCCCACGTCATGTAGAACTGCAGATGACTTGTCTTCTCTAAACACCCTGCGATAAATCCCAGCATCTTTTCTACATAAATGTCAGGAAGAAAACTGCAGACCAAAGGGACTGGAAAACCAACACAGACAAAAAAACATAAGTTTTATGGTGATATTAGTTAGTGAAATCATCTTGTGTACATTTGGTTTGGTAGTTGACTCACTCTGTCCGTGTGGCACTGTCTCCAGCACCTCCTGCTTGAGGGCCTTTTCATTAAGTCTGAATGCCAGGATAATAGCTGACACCCACTCTTTGAGGCGCAGCTGCTTGTGTATGCTGGCCGGTGTCACGTCCAGGTCAAGGTCATATGGATCAAACACCATAGAACCATCAAGAGAGTAGACCAGCAATCCCTCAGTGGTGGTGGCCGCCCAGCTACGACCTGAGAGAACAAGCCACTCTATCACTATGTGACTTTAGAACCTTTGACAGCAGGTCTTCTGCAGTGTTTCTGGCCATTTCTCTATAACAACGTCCCAGATTTAATAATATAGAATGATAAAAAAATGTAATGTTATGAAAAGGTTTTACAAACTATTAAAAGCCTACACTTAGCTAGAACTTATAAAAAATCTGTAGATGATACTTTTACCAACAGATACCACAAAAATAAAAAGGTTAGTCAAAACAAGCCAAGAATTTGAAATAGCTTAAAGTTGAGTGAAAACCTACCAGTTGGAGAAAACCGCAGTGAGCTGACTCTGATCTCTGGTTTGAAGTGACGTGAGCTCATGTCACCTTTTTCAAGAACACACAGGTTTGAGAAGACTCTCATGAGTACATCGGCACCAAATCAGATAGAAACACAATGGACTCGGGTGTAGCCAAACCTTTTCTGACTCCGGGAAGGCTGATGTTGACTCCATCTCCATCTCCAGCTCCTTCATCCACCAGAGCTAGACTGCCGAACTCTGTCATTTTCCGTCTGTCCAGGAATTCCTGCGGGAAAATTGATCAACTCTACTTATTCAAAACCCATTTTCAGAATAGTTTTTTTTATCAGGAATTTTAAAGATGACGACTGTATTAAAACCTTTTTTATTTCACACAGATGGCTGTAAGAAACTGAGGAAAATTGGGGTTGCAGTTTTTTTAGATTCTCAAGGGGATTTTTCTCATATTCTTGCTGTATTAAAGACCTGAGATGTTCAACACCTGGCACTGTTGTCTGACTGATAGATCTAGCCACAGGTAGGCCAGTTAAACAATTTACAGCCTGAACACATTACTCTCCAAACACGTTTTGTTGAAAGCATGAACTTTAAGATTATGTTCAGACATCAAAAGCTCAGAATTTACCTCCATAGCATCGAAGGACAGGTTGCAGGAGATTTCAAACTTCTTCATCAGCATCTGCTCTTTCACATTGTAGATGCACACAAACTTGGACTGTCCTCCTGCCAAAATAGACTCACCATCTGCCGCGTAGCACAGACATGTAAAGGACCTGATGAGTGGATAAACAAAAAAAATTAGTCTAAGGGGAGAGAGAAAGAAAGAGAAAGAGAGAAAGAAAAAGAAGTGTTTACTCACTTCCCCTTGGCCGAATGTTTGGCTGTAATTTTGTCAGTCTCCTTGCGGCCCATTGCCAGGTCGTGGCGTCCAGCCACAGAGCCAGTTTGCGTGGCTGAAAGTGGGTTCCAGAAGGTGATCTCGCCATTCAAAGTGGCAACGGCCAACTCCTGACCATCGGCTCGGTACGTCACGCAGAGACCTGAATGTAAAAGGAGGATGGAAGAAGACGGACTTTTAATATTAAAGTAATTGATTTTTAAAAAAGGATATTTTAGAAGCTGTGGCCAGTGCTGTCATTTACCATCAGAGGTTAGGGATAGTGTTTCCTTGACCTGCCAATTTTCCAACAGGTCCCACAGACGGACTGTACGATCCCATGAGACACTGGCCAGAATTGACTGGATCGGACTGAAACACAGGCCACTTACGGGACCCTCATGACCACCAAGAACCTAATGAATAACAGACAGTGATTCAAAAACATGGATGGTGACCAAAAAAGAAAATTGCCTATAGAACTGCTCCACAAAACATGCACAGAAATGTGTTTCCCCAGAATTTTGATTAGGACCCATTTATTATAAATATGTTTTACAATAAATTTATTTTTTACAAGGTTTAGATAGAATTTGTTATTTAATTTAATCTACATCTGTTCAATGTAACCTGGTTCCTCAGCAAAGAAGGTTATGACAGTATATTAATCCAGTATGTCAGTGGAACAAATCTGAAATAGATGAAGACAAAGAACCAGCTTCAGAGCTCATCTTATTTGAACCACACACATTTGGATCTGGTTTATGAAGCAGCTTTGTCAAGTGCAGTTATAAAACTAGCCATGTTCAAACATGAGTTCAGAAAATGAGGGTCTGTGGCAGATTCTGGGGGGACTTTATCTATGGTCAATAAGGTGATAGGTGTAAATACCTCCAACAGCCTGCCTGTCTGCACTGACCATAAGAAGATCTCAAAGGAATCCTGGGCTCCTGCACTCACTAGTTCTCCACTGCTGTCCACTGCCAGGGTGCAGAACTGTGCAGGGCGAGGAGAAGTGAATGTACGAAAGTTTCGGTATCTGGGGAAAAAAAAATCACCAATTTACTGTTGGTCACATTTCCAAAATTTTGTTGTGCTCCTATCATCAATTCAAACCAAATTTGGTTTCACCTGTGCAGGTCGAATGCTCTGACCGTTCCGTCCAGAGAAGCGCTGACAATGACGAAGCCACTGGAGGTGAAGGTAACGCAGGTGACACTGCTGCTGTGCTCGGTGAATGTGACAAAGCAGAGGCCACTGTTGGAGTTCCACACTTTGATCTGAATGAAATGAAATAAATTATTAGCTTCTGTTCTCATAACTTTGTTTTTGTGTGATTGTTTTTATATCCCAAACTATGATGTGTAACCAAGCAGGTAGAGCAGGAAATACCTTGACAGCTCTTTTAATAATAATAATTCTTATATATATATATATATATATATATATATATAAAATAAGATATATAATTAAGATCTCTAACATCTCTAAGTATAAGAATCAATGCCATTATTACATTCAGATCTGCTGTTAAGCTTCATCCAACAGAGTCAAAGATGTGTTCTCACCTTTCCATCGTCTCCTCCCGTCACAATGTACTGTCCATCTGGTGAATAAGCCAACGAGGCCATGTTGTTAAAATGTCCCTGCTGCTTAAATACATAGGACTCGCTCTGCCACTCCCACACCAGTAATTGACCCATGCCTGGAAAAGATGCACCAAAAAAATACAGTAAACTAACTGCATTCTGATTTAAATAGGCATCCAAAACCATTAGACTTTTACCTGAGCAACCAAATCCAATCCAGTCTCCAGAGTTGTTTATGGCCACAGAAGCAATTCTCTGGTCTGATATACTGCACAAAAACACAAACATTTTTATCCAAAACCTGCCACTTCTCTTTGGCTCTTTTCCTTTTTGGGTTGTTTCTCACCTGAGCGAGTGGATGAGGTTGAATTCTGGGAGTTCATGCAGGTGGAAGATACCGGAGGCAAAACCTGTGACCAGGATGTGTGTCTGCTTATGATAGGAAGCAGCTGTCAAATTGTTAAAATCCCCCTCTTTGTTGAAGTAGTGTCTGTAGAAGTAAATTAACATTTTATAGCTTCAAAAATCTTTAACGTCTTATGCTTTGTAACAAATGTTGATACAGCGGAGGAACTCCTTACTTGCTGAGCTGCCTGTATCGAACATTTTTCGTGTCTTTCCCTTTGGAAATTTCGGCTTTTCCTCGGATCACTTCTCCTTCCTCTCCCTCCAGCCTCTCCTCTTCCTCCTCATGTTGCCCCGGCTCAGGTTTGTTACGTCTCTTTGCCAGGGTAAGACCATCCAACTCAGTGTCACTCTCCCAGACACACAGTGCCCCATCCTGGCTTACAGTGTACAGCTAGAAGAATGTAAAACTTAGTCTTTCAGAGTCGCTGCATGAATTATTTGCAACAGAGGAGGAAATGAACTCACATCCAGACTGTCCTTTTCAAAGAAACAACCGACAATCATGTCCTTGTGTCCACCCAGGGAGTAGTAAATGAGGTTGGACCATCGCTCTGCACCAAACACCCATGTGGACATGTCTTTGCTGCCCACAACAAAACACCTAGAGGACAAACGTCAATTTTTTTTCTTCCTTTTTAGCTCATCTACAGGCTTCTAGTTTCACTGTTTCTTACTTGGAATCGTCTGTCCAGTCAATGCAAGTGGTTTCATCATAAGGACCGTAATAACTCTTGTCCAGCACAAAGGCGTTAAACTCTCGCTGCTTCCCGGGAGCATGGTACATCAGAGCTACGTTTTCTTTTGTGACAACAAACTTCCTGATGGGACAGTTACAGAGATCAGGATTCCAGGACAACAAACAAAAAATAAAGCCATTCAATGTGGTTTAACAGCTATTCTTACCTGCCGTCAGGTGAGAAACGGATGCTGCTCACAGGCTTGTGGAAGTGGAAATGATGAAGAATGGCTCGTGTGATGAGACTGACTAATAAAGCAGCACCATCTGCACAACACAAACACCACAAGGACTGTAAAAACTTTCAGGTGTCTGCTTGTATTATTCAGGTTTGTGGTAAGATTTAGTTCAAAGCCTAGCTTACCTTCGTCAACTAATATTGCCAGGTTTCCATTAGGAGACAAACCCACACAAGTAATGTTCTTTGTGGTGGAGATGGGCAATGTCTCTGAAGTGTTGCTTGGGGTGCAAGAAAAGTAAACTATAAATAAACTACAAGCTCCAACCTTATTTCATAAAATAGTTTAATAAAAGGTAAAGATGCATGTTGAGGACAGACTTATTAACTCCAAGTAAATATAACTCATACCAAGAGCCTTAATACAAATCAAATATTTTCTGACACATAAAAGGCAAAGTTATTTGGAGGAAAAATGGAGAGGCACGTAACACAAACAACACTATCCCAATAAGAAACACATATGTGGGTGGATAATGCTTTGGAGATGCAGTGTCACCAGCAGAAGGAAACACTTTTAATGAATAAAACGAGCAAAGCTAACAAATGCATTTTTAAGTGTTATAGTTTTGTTTGAGGTGAATTTAAAATGATAGAGGCTTTCTAAATAAAGCACTTGAACTGATCTGTGTTAAAAGTTTTATGTAAAAAACATGAAGTAATTGTTTTTTCTAATGTTATTGTTCTCAAAAAGTATGAAAAAAACTTACTTTTTCAAGTCGAAAACTGAGACTCTGTTTCCAACCGGACTGATAACAGCATTGCCATCTTTGGAGAAATTTAGATTCCCCTGACGATAAACTGCACCGAGCAAATTAGAAAACTACAAAAATTGACAGAAGATGTTTATTGTTTATATTTATTAAACATGTGTGTACAAATTATACCATACAACCAAATCGTTCACAATACTAATTATTTAGCCATAACGTACAAGTAGGTTTGAAATACGTCAGGGTAACCTACAGAAGTTGCCACTAAATTTATGTAAATAAAACCCTATCTGCATTCAATTAAGATAACTTTAAACATGTTATTAAAGTGTTAAAGCAGCATCAACACTATGTGACAATACAAAAATTAATAGATTTTAAGATATTGTGCAAGTTTTTAGAAATTGTAGCAAGAATCCCCATAGCGTACTTACCCTGTACGCAAACTTCATCTTGACAACGCTTGGTGTTGGCGCGTTTTCGAAGTTTAAAAAAAGTAAATATTATATTTCGAGTCACCTATAAAGACGAAATTTAGAGCTTCTGTAACACATGCTTCATTTTCTTCCACACATGTGGTCTTATTCTTGTTGACACTCGTCACTTCCTGCCAAAGCTGAGCAACATTTTCTGGGGAAAATTGCGCCCTCTAGTGTCACGGAGAAAACATCTCCACACTTTGCTCGAAAAGAAATCAAGGTATTAATTAAATGAGGGAAGAGAAGGTTTTCATTATTTAGAACAAGACTAAACTGCAGTTGTTTTGGGGGAATCTCACTTAATATGAGTTCAACTGGCTTATTCCTACAAACCAAGAGAATTAATGTGAGTGAAATCAGACATTTGATATGGGTAATTTACAAATAAAACCCGTTTTTGAAATACCGACTGTTTTATGTGTTTGTGGGATGTTGTACTATATTTGTTGTTGTTGTTTCTGTTTGTTGTTTACTGAGTTGCATCTCACACCAAAAAACATGCAAGCAAACAGCTTGCAACGTATCCACGGAAGCATGTTGGAAATATATCTAAAGATTCTGCTCTTAATTCTAAATAGGATATTATTTGGGTACAATAAAATATGCACATTACATACCCACAAAATATAGCATTACTTAGAGTAGAAGAATATATGCTATTTATGTCCAGTCCAAATGACACACCTGAAAATGGGCGAGGCCATGTTGTCTTTTCTTTGTTTCCTTGTTGGAGCCTCATACAATCCAACGCATTCATTTTTCATAGCCACACTAGATTATTCATGAACTGGCAGCTACAGCGTACACACTCTGCACATGACACCATAAAGAGACGACTGTTAAACTGCTGTTGAAATAATGACTAAAATAGTCTGCATTGTCATCTTTATTTTAAAGTAAACAGTACTTTAAAACAGTGAGGTAAACTGTTACTTTTGTAAAACCCAGCACCAGCAAAATGAATAAAACTACTAACAAATCTTTTCTACTGTGTTAACAATACCCTTTTTTCACCTTATTGTTTTGTGCCAAAGGTCAAAACAAGGTACAACGTGCAGTCGGACATATTTTTGGCCCCCAGATGTACACTCCAAACAGCCATAGACGGTTTCTCGCTTCTGGTTTCCCATGCCACACAGCGCACAGGGTCCCTTAGAGATGTTGTGTTTGAGCAGGTTGACTCTGGTGTGGCTGCTCTCCCTCAGGTAGGCTGTGGACACATCTGTCATGCTGGCGGCCTTCTCGTAGTAGTCTGTCACCATGTCGTCCATGTATGTGTCTGTGTGGGTAAGCTCCTCAAACGTCCTGTCGTCTGCGGTTGTGATGGATCAGGTTAAAATGATGCTGAAGTTATTGTTCGCTGATAGTGTGTTTGATGTCAGAACCTCACCTGCCCTAAAGGGGTTTCCGTAGATGATACCAGACAGGAACCGACGCAGTCGGCCTACGGAAAATAGACCAATGAAGCCCCCTAGTTGCTCTCTGATCTGCTCCCTCTCAAATCCACCTTGGGATTCTGGAGCTACACAGATATCTGAAAGGAAATATCAAAGAAACTCTTCACTAAAACTTTGCCAAATAACATGTATACATACATACATGTGGGTGGTAAACTACGCTGCCCACACTGTAAAAACACCAGTGTTACCTAACGTGTTTTTCTGTAGCAACCCGATATGTCAGCACACATCAACTCTAGTTACTTTAATTGTATTTTACCACATTGGGACTCAGAGCCTTTACTGTTCTGATCTGATGGTTTCATGTATTTTATTTTCACTAGTTTCCCAGACATTTTATTTTGATAAGTTGCCACTTCCTCCTTTTAATTTATTGGTGCTAACAAATTTCTGGATACACTGCTTTTTTTCTTTTTTGCCACAGTTGACTTACTAAGTAAATGTTTGTTTGAGCTATTTTTGTAATTGTTTAAAAATGTTTTGGTATTTTTTGCAAATTAACCCTAAATGTTTCCACTCTAACTACTGGTTCGTTTTCTATACATTTTGGGCTGTTTGGTTGACTGTTTTATTTAACAGTTTCAAAATTAGTTAGCCCAGTCATGTACTTCTACTGTATGTGTTTATCTGAGTGTAGCAGGCAAAAGTAAAATGCAAAAATATATAAAATTATACTTTTATTATAATACTACTGTAACAAACTCAAGGCAAGTAGTTTTGCCAGGATAATAGATCAATTAATTTGTATATCACATCTAAAAAACATTCCTACCCAGACGCCCATCCAGACGCACAAAGAGCTCACAGATGCTGAAGGCGATGGTAGTGTGAGCCGGGATGACGATGGCTTTGTCTCGACCTTTGGGATTCCTGCCGTTGTCGATCTGAAACTGCAGCAGCAAGTGAGTTTGTTATAGTTTGATCATTGTTTTCTCTTCAGTTCTGGTATAAATTATTTCTTTAAATTATTTTTTTTATTTATTGTTTTTATAAAGTTTCTGCAAAAAAATAATACCCCTAGTACAGAGAACAGAAAAGTCAACAACTCAGGCTCATCTGAATCAATATAACAGCAAATCGTAATATAGATTAAACCCTCGTTTTGTCAATATTGTCACAGATTTGTTGGTATTGGAAACGCAGTGTCAGGACCAATATTGCTCTCCAAAGTTGAGAGGTCAGTTACAAAATCATCAGATTTGGAAAATCAATCAATTTAGACTCTCGTTTGTGTTCTTTAACTCAACCTCAAATATAACTTCAAACCTAGGGCTACATGTATTTATACCTCTTTCTCTCTTATAAATAGTTGGTTGACTTCATGTATTATCTGTTTGTATGTTTTGAATGTCCTGCTGCACAACCAACTGTCCTCTGGGGACAGTAAAGTGAAGACAGTAAAGTTGAACATAGAACAAATCTATCATAGACTGTGTATTTACCCTCATGGTCGTCCCTCTCATTCCGGCGTGCACAGTCAGGGAGCACTGGCGAGTCGTTCGAATGCTCTCCACAACCACACACAGGACACTACGCCCATTATCCTTAGACTGACGGACCAGGCAGTGATCCAAGTCCACTTTCCTGAGGACAGAGCATGGCTCAAATCCTGATTTCATGGATATAAACTGTAATTCAGTGAAACATGAGTAGGTTCTCTATCTTCTAACATGTACAGTTTGCTTGTGTCAGGTTACATAATTATTTATTCATACATTCAGGGAATCTCCTCTACTCACATTTCCTTTGTCAACAGTTTTTTTTAGAATTTTTTAAAAAACTATGTTAATTGACATTGGGACAGTGGTACAACAACAATAAATATTTTGTTTTTTTGCCTTTTAAATACTACAACACAGGAAATGGTTGAAAACCACAAAGTCATGCATGGTGAACAGGTTCTACGAAATCATCGCACAAATATTGCAGAGATGTCATAAATCAGGAAAAGGGTGAGCTAAAAGCAAATAATTGACTTCAAGATCACTATAAGCATTTATCAGAAATATCAAGATTGAACAGATAGCTGAATGTTAGCCAGTCGGAATTTATCCAATCAGTCTTAAGTGCTATCAATATGATAATAGCAATGATAACAATAATGATGGTACTCATGTCTTTGTGCAGCATGCTGGGATACCTGGAGTTGAGTTCTCGCAGTAATGTTGGAACCTCCAGTTCATGTTTGGTCACAATACCAAAGGATGCTTTGACAGCCACAGAGTCGGACCCACTAATGTTGAAGCCCACATCGTTAATGATGTGGTTGCCCAGTCGACCGTTGAGGGCCACATCAGATTTGTCTTCATAGTTAAGAAGCTGGTAAGAAGACACTCCTGTACCGGTACAAAGAGAAAATAATTCAGCCAAGTAGATACATTGAAGTGAATGGCACTTTTTAGTTGTTGGAACAAATGGAAATGATCTCTGAGCTATGGGTTAGCCAAAAATGGTCTGACCCAACACTGCTAGCATTTCACTCATACCTTGTGTATGACAAACATGAAATCTCAAGTCTAGAAGAATTGGCAGGCTACCTGGAAAACCCTATGATAATTTTAGTGTAGGTGATAAAAGACACGAGTCAATAATATAAGTTAGTCTGAAGCTTTGCAATTTCTGAAGGGTTGCAATGGTTACAGTACAATAAACCTGTCCTGTGAGGGTAAAGTACAACTGCTTATCATATGTGTCCAAAGTAAATTACTGCCTCTATTATGTGTTGTATATCAATGTAAACTTAAACATTACAGTTTTTATGTCTTGGCCTACCTTAGCAAAAATAAACATAACAATGTTTGCATTAACTGCTTGATGTTATATCCCTGGTGTGTTGGTGTTTAAAAAAAAAGGACCAAATAAAAAAAAAAACAGGTGAAACAGCCTCTAATGAATACACATTTGGACCTTAGCTATTCCGAATGTGGGAGATATGGAAGATGTGACCCACATATATGTGGGTCACATCTCTGCCAAAAACAAAATGAAAGCTGTAGTTGGACCAGTCAGAGTAGCCTACTTTAGATGAAGACATGAACTAATACTAAAGGAAGCTAAAGGAAAAACCAAAGGGTTCTGTTTTTTGTTGTTGTCATACCTGCTGTGATCTCCTTCTCCCCCACCAGGATGTCTTTGAGGGAGAACGGGGTGGAGGCATATTTTTTCTTCTTCAATAAACGTCTTTTTCTCTTCTTGGTGACCAGACTAAGGGGCTGGTAGCGATCGGCCTCACTCAGGCTCGGCACAGGGATCAACCTGCCTGTATCTCCTACTTGCTTTACAAAGTTCTTAGTGGCTGCAGCAAACATTCCCAGTGATCTATCAGCAATAAACACACACAAGAAAAGGCAGACGCTCACAAGACTTTGCTGTTGTTTGGTGGAGCAGCTCTACCAAGTAAGGAGGCTGTGTCAGGTGTTCTCTTTCACACTCCTGAAATGTTAAATAATGCAGGTGGTGTGAAAGGTAATATGGTACTAGGTTCTGTGTGCTAACCTGGTCACTGCAGACCTGCTGCCTCCTGTCACATGACAGACTGCCAAGTGGGGAAAAGTTGGCACTGGTGACCCAAGGAGATTTTCAATACTCATAACTCTGAGTACAAGTTCTATTTTAGTCATATCTTGGTGAATATTTGAAAAGATGGAACCTAGAAGTTGTTGTAGATATTGAAGATAATGGGAGAACATTTAATGCCTGACTTCCTGTCGCTTTTAGAATATTGATTGTGAATGTGTTCATTTAGAATATGAAAATAATATATATAAACTATATATATAAATAAACTTGATATATGTTTTTTTTTAATTTAGTAATATTTTATCATTTTAGAGATTTCTATGTGATTTTTAACCTTCCTGCAGTTGAATGATAACTTTCTCCAGAGCTGCTTCCATTCAGTGTGTCTCCTGTGTGGGTGATCCAGGGCTGGTCCCTCCTGTGGTTACACTGCTGTCTGGCCCATACTGTATGTCCAGAAATAGCATGTGAAACCCCACATGTAAGACTCTGTCTTAACGTGACTGGTCAGGTCAGTATTAGCTTCATGTTCAACTGCTCTCTGTAATTTTCAGTTCTAGACTATAAGAGATTGTGAGATCATTTAAAGTATGCTTCAAGGACCAGAAATCTTCTTAAGCTATGGTACCATTACTACTGGTAGTACTTAGGTTCCCCCCAGAGGTACACAAGGGAATAGGACGTTTATTTCAAAGTGTTTGAGAAAAATAGTACAAATCACAGAGACAGCACAGGTAGTCCTGCAGGGACTGATATAGGCAAAGGTTTACAGTACAAGCTGAACTGAACATTTGTGTTTGTGTTGCAGGTGGTATGTAATGTAGTATAAAAAGATCAACAACCATTGATTTGCTGTTAAATTCTAAAAACAGCATTTGCTTTTAATTTTACAAACATGTTTGTAACATAAATGTCTCCCTTACTTACTCACTGCCCCTGACAGATGGACAGGATGAAGAATGAAACCAAACACTTACTTTTCAACAACCAGGTCATCACACCACATTAATACTTTGTATGTGCTGAAGTGAACTCTAATCTAACTTAGGAACTGTCTTTCCATTTCTGTTGGTTACTTTCTTTTCCCCTGCGATTCCCTAATGGGGAAACCAGTCTGTTCTTCAAACACTTCCTGTCGTGTTCTGCAAAGGACACACTTGAAATTTACTTTGCTCGCTGCTACAGTCTCACTCAAAGGCACACTGACATGTACTGTACATGATATGTAAATCACTGCTTTAAACAGTTGAACTCCGATGGAGACAGTGCTGATGGTAAAATATTTGGTGTTGTTTTGTTTAGGTCTCTACCGCTGGGATGCTGTTTCAGGAACTGACAGTCAACTTGAAGCTTGACCTGGAAATTGCATTAGATGAGCACAACACACGCACTGATGAGCAAACAGGATGGAGGACACAGATGTAGGTCAGTGATTCAGACAGAGGGCAACATAAAGAGCAGGTTACATGCAACATGTTCCATGTTGAACGTAAACAAAAATATGTTTTGGAGAAAAAGGAGAAGATAAACAGAATATATTACTGAAGATTTGAACGTATTATAACCAATTTGTGACTGTTGAATACACTTGGTGAGTTTGGGGCTTGATTCCACAATTTATATCCTAACTAAATGTATAACATGGTGGTCAGTATTGACCCTGTACCTCTGTCTTATGGAGGATGATCAACCATGTTGTTGTAGTTATAGGAGTAAACATTTCACATTGTAGGAAACTAAGTTAATTTAGGTGGTGAGTGATTCAATCCAAAATTTGGGTTACATGCCCATAGTTTGTAGTTTCTTGTTCGGTGTAGTATCAATAGCACTGGTAAAGTTATATAATTTTTCACTAATGCTCATGTTTATATTTAAAAAACTCAATGGCTAGTATGGGGATTGAGCCCATGACCTTGGCGTTATTAGCAACACGCTCTGACCAGCTTGGTGAGTTTGAGGCTTGATTCTCAGATTCGTATTCTTGCTAATTTTCAAGATGGTGGTCAGTGTTTACCTTGAACCACCTTGATCATTGTCAGCTAAACAACCATGTTGTTGTAGTTATCATGATAGCTCATAATTACATTTAAAAACCCCAATGGCCAGTATGGGGCTTGAACCCATGACCTTGGCGTTATTAGCACCACGCTCTGACCAGCTGAGCTAACCGGCCATGACATAAGACTGCAGCAGTTTTTCCTTACAATAAACTTGTTGTAGTTATAAAAGTACAAAATTCTATAAATATATAAAAGGCGTGATAAACAACTAATTAGGTGGTGAGTCATTTAATTTTACATTTTAAAACATTATTGGACTCTCATTTTACATGGATCAAGAAATGCTGTAGCACCATAATGTGCATAATGGCATAGTAAGACTTGATAACACAAAACGTAGCACATAAACAATGATCAGTACGGTGCAGCTTCAACAGGTAAACTAGTCTGATATTTACTCTGTTTTTGAAGCAAACTGCCCTACAGCAAAATGTTTGGCATCTGATACAATTTTAATATCTACCAATACTGGCTCCTCCCCTAGGAACTGAAGTGCACATTACCAGCCTGTATTTATAATATTCAGAGATTTAAAATGTTAAAAGTGACAAAGCAGCAGAGGTATCTACTGGAATCAATGTGAGAATATATAAATGTTTAAGAACATTAGAGCGTAATCGTCCCAAACCTAAGATGAAAGAAATGCTAGACTTAAACTTTCAAAGGAATAAAAACTACCATGTTTCAGATATAGTCTTTAATTACTGTAGCAGAATGTTCTCTGGCATCGGTGTGAGGCTGAGAAGCAGTAGGAGGGGAAAGATGTAGAAGAGAAAAAGGAGGAGGAGATTGGGCCTGGGATGAAGGAAGAAAAAAGATGAGAGGGAAAAGGAGGAGGAAGAGGCGGTGAAGGAGGAGAGTGAGAGTTTGGGGGGGGGCGCTTGTTTCAGTGTGCAATAATTGCCCATCCTGAAGCCTGCTCCTCTCTGGGATCTTTGGATTTCTCAGTCTGGATGCTATAGCCCGGGATCGGAACTCACTTTGACATCCTGGTCTGTTGTGTGTGTGTGTGTGTGTGAGGACCCTGCCTGTCTGGCATCTAAACATGGGTCTCTCGTTGCGCTCTAGGATTATTGTCTGCCTGGCTGTTACCTTGGCTCAGGTGTTTGCTGTGATCTGCCAAGAAGAGACCAAGAAAGGTTAGTAAAAGATGACTTCTTTACTTCTTTTACTGCTGTTCTAAAAATGGGTTCTGTGTTCACCCATGATGCCTTGGAGTTCATAGCAACATTTAAACCAAACTAAGACTATAATGTACTTTTTACTATTTTTTTTACTTTTACTTTTTTGCTATAAAAACTCAAGGTCCATAGATTTTAAGCCTTCGATATGTGGTTCACACATGTGTTATTTTTTGTTTTTATAGTCTTGTGAGATCATCTACTTCTTTACACTTGTGTTTGTTCATTTCCCTGGTTTGTGTTTTTCTAAAGCTGTGGTTTGGGAACTTTCTCATCTCCTCCACATTTCCTTGTTATAGTTTATGAGCTCAACTCCACCCCCCCTCACTGGACTTGTGGTTGTGGAAGCTTCTTATAAACACAGAGGATTTCACTACGAATTTAAAATTATGCTGAAATGAGTGGGACACTACCTGACAATTACATAATGCAGGACGTCAAAATGGGTGGTAGGAAACATGAAACTGTCAAAACATTCAGAAACGTTCAGAAACTTCAAATGTGATTATAAACCTTGATGCTACTCTCTAAAACTTAATTCATCAGAATTTCTCAGTTCTATCTGTATTACTATGTCTTCTAAGAAGGAAATACCCCAGAGTCAAAAGAGTCAAAAATACCTTCCTTCCCCCTGCTTACTGCACGCTGCAACGCACACGCCTTGCTCAGGCTATTTCAAGTGCAATGCCGAGGCTGAATGAAGGGGTTCACAGCACCACGGCTATAATGATGTGGCCTCACGGATAGGACGGACAAAAGCAGGCCACTAATTTTGGTCAGACTCTGGGCCAAAAGGCAGACGAGACACACCCATGCAGGAGTACGCAGGGAAGGGAATTGCACTGGCTTTCACCACCTACAGTAAAAAGTGCAAAAAGTAAAGTTTGGTATAGAAACTAAACTAGTTTTCATTTCAATTAGTTAGGAATTTCATAGTTAAAACTAACTTTTACAACACTTAAAATAATAAATAATAAATATTCTCATTACTGTATTTGTTGAACTAAACTAATATGTCCAGAAAATAGAATAAACGAACTAATGATGAATAAGTTGAAGGAAAGATGCAGAAATCATCCGGAGTTGAATCAGACTTTTTATATGACTGTTAATGGTAAAAAAAAACAAACTGTATTTTTATTTGTATTTTCTCTAGAAGATCTGTCCAAATGTCTCTGACGTACTAGAATTATTCCAGGCCCAGAGACTGGCCCTGGACGTGACGTCATTTGACCAACCTGGTCAACTCGGACTCGGTGCTGGGCCAGAAAAGTATAGGTTGTGGTAAAACAGTGTCAGATGTTGTCCACAGTATGGTTACCAGATTGTTACCATTGATGCACTGGAAAAGTGCAAAACTATATAGAGTGTATCAGTCAAAACATGCTGCTAGTGCCTAAAGTTAACATACACAAAAACATACATGCCAAAAACAACAACAAAATTACCTATTGAATTCTTTACCCTGGTTACCCAAATTTACCCAAAGCTATCTAAATAATTGGATATAACTAGCTTAAGATTGGCAAAAAAGGTAAGAGTACCCATAACAGCCTGAAAGGTGATCCTCAAGCAGCATGAAGTTGTGGAATATATTCCAAAAATAAATAAATGTGCAAATTTACTTTTATTAAAGAGGGCAAAAGTAAAGTAAATCTGAAGTAGAGATTGTTGGGCTCAGTGGTGCATTTAATAAATACAGACAAGACAATGTAAGAATGTGGGTTTAAGGCCCACCACAGTTATTACTGAGTGACCTTTTTTGTGTGAATTAAAATAGCACTTCAGTGTGACATAATATGAGTGGTTTGACTTCCATTCCATCCCAAATGATCAAGCACCAGCACGACCTTTTGTTGTCTAAGATTTGCAGCAGATGTGATGTTGAACCTGGTCTTTCACTCTGCTCCCAGCATCACAACCACTGACTTAATTCCAATGCTGCTGCCACTTATAAATAATTTGAGGTACAGTAATTGCTGGGGGCGGTGTGTGCGTGCAAAGGCGTGTGATGTGTGTGTCTCAGTCTGAATGGAGTGAAATCAGTATATTTGACATTTTTGTGTAGCCACTTTATCAGTGCAGCCATGTCCGTGGAGGTGGAATGTAACCTGCCAAGTCAGGAACCCCAGTGGGTGGTGGGTTAAATATATGAAGATGGTATATAGATATAAATAAACAATGTTTATGTATATAGATAATTTTAGCAAAACATCTGGAAAACACATCTGTATGTGAACCATAAGGTTATACATAGGCCTATACCAACCTAAAAGTTAGTCTGGAGAGTGAGTAAAACATAAGTGAAAGCCAATTAGATAATGAGATGTTAGATGAAAAAAAAAAGATAGAAATTAGCATTAATACAGAACTGAGTGCTAAGATAGTAGGCAGACAAAAGAAAACGTATTCTTTTCAGTAAGAGAACATAGAAGAATGCCAAGGTAGCTAGTACTAATAGGTAATCAGTCAGCAAGAGGAAAGAAATGTTAAATTCCTGTGTAAAGTTACAGCTAAAAGTAGGCTTAAAAAGAATAAAAATAGGTGAGTAAATCTTTGGCCACGTATGAAACCTGTCTACCTGCTGTGTCTATAATGGAAACTGTGAACTTAACCAGTGAGAGGCAGGAGTTCAGCACTTATGGTGCCCACATGGACATGGTGGTCAGGTGAAACCACAGACCTCAGGTATCGTTCATGTGGCTGAACTTCAGGAAACTAAAACCTGAGTCACATACTAAAAATATCCACATCTGCTGGATAATGACTTTTCTTTCCTCCTTTGCTCATTCTGGAGTGTGAACACAATTATTTACTACCTCAAAGATGATGAATCAAATCATTTGTCAGGATTAAATGTTTAGTTGTGGCATCAGTGCTGCAGCTTCAGTCACACGGGCGGCTGCTGCTCGGCCTTGTGCGGCAGGAGGTTTCATAGCAGGAGGTTTTCTCCGGGTGTGGCTCCTCACTGCTCTCTCTCTCTCCCTCTTCTCTTTCACCCATATAGAGTCAAACCACCGGTTTCACCAGAGCCCAGTGTATAATAGCGGCACAGTGGTTTCCCCCTGAAATAACTCTTTTTTTTTAATCGCAGTGAGGAGAGGCTGTACCACATGATTAGAGCTTAGAGGAGGAACAGCATTTTAAAATACTCTCCCACAGCCTGCAGCAGGTGGCTGTGTTTGCCTTTGACCGCCTTTGCTTTTACATTTTTGCACTTCCTAGCAGAAAAGAAAGGCTGCAATATTACATTTTTACTCACTCTGTGTAGAGTTTTATTTTTTAACTTGATGATTTTCTGTTCTTATACCTTTAGATTTCAACAAAGGCTTTTAATAACATAGCTTTAAATTAGTGTCGTATTGTTTAGTGCAGCTACTACTTTTCATTTTATTGACTAAATTTGTCAAAAAGACAAAATTATACTTGTGTCATGTTTGATTCATGCCTTTTTGCGTCCTTTGATGAAGACTGAAGTTCTCACCTTGTCTCTCATTTTCACTCAGGGAGTCGTAAATTATCGCTTACGTACGCACAGACACATATAAAGATTTACTGCCAAGAGTTATTGAGTTCAACCGCAGTCTAGTCACCGCCTAGAAGGACCGACGGCAAGCGCTGGCTGGCTGTGGCGATTGTCAGTAAAACTGTTAGAAAGTCTCTGCTTCCAGACAGGTGGGGGTTTTAGGGAGGGATAAATCACTGCACTGTTCTTTGAAAACCTAAGGGACATTTTACTTTTCTTCTGTTCTGGTTTGTTATCATTCAAAAATGTTTGACTACACAAAGCTACACTAGACATCCAATTCAAGGGCTACATTCCAAACATATTGGAAACATGATGTGATTTTGAACTTAGAGGAAATGTATAAAAATGCATGACCTAAATCTTTTTTTAACACACAAAAGGAAAAGAGATGTGTATTATACCCTAAACAAAAGTTTTCACAACCCATTTTCTTTTCCAAGCTTAAAGAGTTTGTTCCATTCTTGCTGTGTGAGAGGTTAGCATTTCAAATTCTCTGACCACCATTGTCTCTTCGAGTCATATGAGATATTTTTAATGGGAGAAACCGGGAACAGTAGGCTGCTCAGTGAATCACAAAATCATCTTCAATTTAAAAATGTGTCTATTTTTACCCTCATTAAGTCTTCAAGTGAGTTTGTACACTTGACGTCCTACTAATTTGAATGTTACTTCTGGATTTGCTTTTTTATAAAGGCTCTTTATCTGGTCAGCTCCATTGGATCATTAACCATCCAGTCAAAATCCTGAGGCTATTACAGTAATTAAACAAAAATATTTAGCATTATTATTTTTATTATTATTTATTATTATTAATATTTAGATTTTAAATAAATCACTAAAATAAATAAGAAAGTTATTATTTAAGTTTTAATATGTTTATTTAAATAATAAATTTAAAAAAGCCAATGTTTAATTTAATTTAATTGAGGAAATGTCCATCATCCCATCCATGTTTGTTTATTATTTTTTATATATTTTTTGTTTTTAAATGACAATTAATTTTAGTAAAATAGCTTGCAGTACATGTGAGGTCTCCTCTTCCAGTCGACTTATTATTAGGTTTATATAATGTTTCTGATCATTAAATCAGTTAAGAAGAAGATTAATTTATTTTTTTTCAAAGGGCCAATATTGAGGTCCTCCATTTCTAACTCATACTGGTGAACAGCCCAGTTTAGTAGTGGTAGTTATTAATAATCATCATCATAAGCGGTTCCCATACATAGTTCCTATTGAAATGTATATTCACTTGTCCCAATTCAACGTGTGTCTACATGTGGTATTATGGGCTGTGCAATGAAATGTCCGGTGTTCATTTTGATTGTCCAATATATTTACATTTGAAATATTAAATAAATCAACTGATTGTTTTCCCTCTCGATTAGATATTTTATATGTTACAAAATATTTATTACACTTTTTTTTATATAGAGTCAATGTAGTCAAATTATAGCTGTTAAAGCGATATTAGTTTGATTACTTAATAAATAGTGCAACCTACTGGTCAAGTCCAGAAAATACACCGGGCTGCATCCTGTGGTATTATGGCTGTTATGTTTTAAATGACACTGTTTCCTGAGCTCTTGAAAACTACACACTAAGACCCCTGTGAGAGACCCTGGACCCACTGCAAATTATCACCGCTGCTCTGCTTGACTCAGACGGCTGCACACAAAACGGACAGTTCTACTCCAACTATCAGATATGGAGTCCAGAGTCGTGTCGAACGTGTGTGTGCGATGCAGGCATCGTGGTGTGCGACGATGAGGTGTGTGAGGAGCTCAGTGGTTGCCCTACCACTGCCGTGACCCCTGAGGGCCACTGCTGCCCCGTGTGTCCAGACAGTGAAACAGGTAAATGGACACCACCCAAATGTACCATTACCTTATCAGGAAATACTGATTATAGCAGTAGTTTAACACAACAAATATATAAGAGTTATAATGCGTCTGTAATTCACGTTAATGCTACACTTATTACAGTACGCTGCAAAATTGCATTAAACTTAACCAGTCTTTAAATTTCACTAAATCTGCTTTATTTAACTTTGCCAGAAAATGACAAGTTCAACAGTAGCCCTTGGTCATATCTTAAAAAAGTTTTCTCAGGGAGAAAAAAGTCAGAAATTTACTTGGGAGTCCAACCCAGAAAACAATTTTGGCACATTTATATTTAAGTGTTATTGACAAACAGGTTAGCAAAATAACTTGACTTGTAATTTTTCTATTAGCCATTGTCTACTTTTGGCTGTCCATGCTACATGTTGTTATTGTTGTAGCCTAACTATGCTATCAGAAGTTTGCTATCTTTTCATAGTCATATACTTTTAGTAATCATTTGGTTTTTTGTCTTTAGTGTTGCTTACTAGCCAATAATCGCAGGTACTGTAGCTTTCGTTCGTCTGATCTGATCTTTACTTATTTTAGACATTCGCAGTAATATATAACTATTTTTATATCTCTTAGAAATTAATCTTGAAAAATCTAACTTTTGATAGTTTTTATATCTTTTGTTTTAAATTCATTCATTATATATATATTTATTTTACTATGATGAAAAAGTGTAATTAAATTTCCAACAGCCAAGAAAAAGCTGCCATTTGAAACAATTGTTAGTTTCAAATATAAAACAAAATAGTTAAAGGTTGAGTTCACGATAACATAGGTTGGACAGAAGGCACTTGGTAGAGATAAATATATCGATGAACAACATTATGTTAGCCAAAAAAAAGAAAGAAAGAAGAAACTAAAAATATTGATTAAAGTTAGTGTTAGAAAAGATTATGAGAAAAACAGTGATCAAACTTATACCAAATTTGACATAAAATGTCAAAATGTCTCCAATCACAAAGAAATCAAATTCCCCTTGACTTGACCCATGGCCGCCACAGCTAGAGAGAACCCACAGGAAGTTTGGAGAAGGCCCATACTTGAGCTAAGCTGTAGTGTCTATTTCTGAGCTTAAATACATAAATGGCCAAGTCAGTAAAACAGAAAATATGTGCTTGGTTTTGCAAGACGTTACATTTGACTTTTTTCATGGCACGTTCAACAAAAAAAACATCACGATGCCCATGTTCTGTTTCATGAAGATACCTGCATGGATAACGGTGAGGTCTACTATGACTATGAGGTTTGGAGCCCTGAGCCCTGTCGGATCTGTATGTGTGACATGGGGACAGCGGTGTGTGAGGAGGTGGTGTGTGAGGAGCTTAGGGACTGTCTGACATCTGAGGTCCCTGAGGGCGAGTGTTGCCCTGTCTGCTCCACAGAGGCACCACCGCCACCACCACTACCACCACCACCAACTACTGCTACTACTTCTAGCAAGAATTATGAATCTGGTAATAATAAATGTTTTCCCTTCATGTGTGGACGAGTGAGTTCCAACGTGTATGTGCTTTTACAGACAAATAAACACGTGACAATTATTTTAAGTCACTCCGTTTCATCTGCATTTTTTATTTGCAAAAAGCACTCTTTCGGATTAATTTTTTATCCCTGTTTGCACTTTAATAATTTTAATCGACTGCAGAAGAGCAACAGTAATTGTTTAATGTCTCCAGAGGGTTAGGATTTCAGAATAAGGGCATGTGGAAAAAGGAGAATCAGACAGAAAGGAATGATCTTAATTGGTTTTTCAGAGTATGCGTGGGAAATTAATAAAGAACAATGGAATAATGAATAATGAGAATAATGTTGAAAATGAATGAATTAGTTAAAACTTAATATGAGAGCATTGATTCAAGATTGCCATATATACAGTAAACCAATGTTTATAAAAGTTAAGTGCAATTGCACAAATTCAAGAAATAAAGAAGTACCAAAAAGAATAGAAATACCAAAAAATTGTATTTAAACAAACTACAGTTTAATCAACCAAAACTAATATTAATTAATAATACAGTAAAAAAGAAAAAAGATTAAGATTACTAAGATTAAAAGCAGCACTATCTTTGTACGTGCCTGCTGTACATTCACTTGGCTCCAAGGTTACAATCCTGGGTTTTCAGATCTAATCAACCTCTGACACTGATGTCAGTTGTTCTTTTTTATGAAGATTCCTGCACAGAAGAAGGCAACGTCTACTCCAACAATGAGATCTGGTACCCAGCCCCGTGTCGGGTCTGTATGTGTGAAATGGGGACGGTGATTTGTGAAGACGTAGTATGTGAGGATATTGGGGACTGCCAGACCACAGAGACCCCAGAAGGCGAATGTTGCCCTGTCTGCGTGGTTGCAGAACGAGGCCCAGACACTGCAGCTGGTAAACTGAATGTCCAGGCACTGTTGGTGATCTGCTGATGTTGTTTTTGTCGTTGCATCTTGGGTTTTTGAAACCTTTTGACCGCTGGTGCTCGGTTTTGTCACCCACCTCAGCTTGAATTTCTGTATTTTGTGCACATGACCTCAAAAACGTTGAATGAAAAGCCATTGTGAGCTTCTCTTCAGGTTTGCAATGGAATGCATTTCTTTCCCCTCGTTGTCTGAATAAGTTTCACTTCTCAACAAATGTTTGTGCAGCAACAAATAGTTGAGCAAGTAACTTATCAACCGTGTGAGGGTAAATATTGATTCTTCTTTTGGTGTTTTCAAGTGGTAGGCATCTCCACCACCCTCCTGTTGTTGCATTATACTGCCTGCTTTACCTTTCCTGAATCTTTTGTAAAATGTGTTAGCATCTCTAGGCTATGTGTCATGATGTTTTTTTCACTTCTGATCATGGTTATTGCCTCTTATCAAGGTGGAAGACTGAAGGAGTTTGACATACACGGTATTATGTTTACTGTTTCAAAGCCCCTATGTGTGATATATAAGTAACACTGTGTTCCATTGGCTTAGCAGGTTGTGCAAAATTGACACCAAACACGTACTTTAATGCAGAGCGTCTTTGATTAAACTTACCACTTAGCCAGAACAGAGAATGAGATGATAACATACTGTAGCTAAATGTTTCCTTATAACTGGCTAAAACTTAGCATGATAGTTGGAATAGCTAATTTTTCAAAATAACTATCATCAGCAAAACAGTACATTGGTCTTTTCACAGGATAGCTTAAAAGCTAAAAAATGCAGCTCTACAATTAATCAACAAAAGAAGATTAAAACTAGATTAAATGTACTATTTCTTAAGGAAATTGGAAAAGCTTGCAGTTAAGCAGTTTAGCTTTATCAAACAGAATCAAACAGATTTTTTTTTCTATTAATGAATCAAGTCTTTATTGTGATCCTTATTTGTTAGCTTGTAGAACTTCACAGAAAACTGGTTGCAGAGATTTGCATTATGTTTGTTTAAAACTCTGCAGTTCGATGCCTCCCCTTGTGGTTGGTTACCAAAATAACTGGCAACAAATTTTCCTACCTGTACTAGATTATTGGCAGCTTTTAAGATCTGAAACAATTCCATGTTTGTATCCCAAATGTGTGCTCATCGCCTCAACAATATAACAATTTTAATGTTTTTTTAATTACTCATAGGTTATTCTAACAAGTCACCAACTTTAGACACCAAGGGAGTGAAATCTTTAAATTAATTCCAAAAAATCAGTAAAAACAACTGGTAGATGTTGAAAAAGAAAACGATGATGCAAATGCTAAGCTAACAAAATCCCACATAGGGCTTTTGAAAAACATATAACTTCATCCTTTTGTGTACGTTGCTAAGCATGTTATGCTATTTGTGTTTAAGATTTGATTTGTTTATGGGTCTGGCTTCGATGTAGTCCACTTTCTGGCTATGTGTGTAGCAGACTGGACCACTGACGACGTGCGACTGACTGCTGTAGAGGTCAAAGTGACCAGAGTAAGCTCACATTTCACTTTTTAATAGAATTTCCTGTTTTATAAAGATACCTGCACAGAAAATGGAAAAGTCTACGCCCATAACGACATGTGGAACTCGGAGCCGTGTCGGGCCTGCGTTTGTGATATGGGAACCATCGTGTGTGAGGATGTGATTTGCGAAGACTTAGGAGACTGCCAAAAAACTGTGACCCCAGATGGCGAGTGTTGCCCAGTGTGTATAACTGCTAGCAGCGAGGCAACACCTAGTAAGTATTTAGTCAAACTTATGACAAAGATTTGAAAAGTGCTGTTTCCAAACTGCCCCTCCTCCTTGTTGCAGCTGTAGATGAGAGCACAAGTGGGGATAACTGCACTGTGGATGGGGAACTCTACCACCACAACGAGATCTGGAAACCAGAGCCCTGTCACATCTGTGTCTGCGACAATGGTGTTTCTATTTGTGACGAGGTGCAGTGTCAAATTCTGTCAAACTGTGAGAAGGTCGTGACCCCGGAAGGAGAGTGTTGCCCAATTTGTGACAGCTTCGCCAGTGCCAGCAGGGTGATTGGTGAGATCCATTGTTTTTACCTTCTGACTCAGACCAGGATAAACATCTAATAAATACCAAAATACAATACATATAGAAAAAGAAATTCAGCCAAAAGAAAATTAAATTAAACTAAATATTGGTCCAGATAACAAATTAAAATAATACAGGGCTGAGAAAATACACAACTTTAATTAGACAGTTCTAATGGCCGTCAGCGTATAACCCTACTATTACACCAACTTGTAATAATTATTCTTGATATTTATTCCGGTTGAATCTAACTTTTTTTTCCCTTTCATGCCCCCAAAGAAATCATGGGTTTTAAGGTAAGTCCTTCGTTGTTGTTTTTAAAAAATGAATAGGCTTTTTTCCCCCAAAACACTTCAATTTTTCAATCAATTACTGTATATTTTTTTTCCTTCTTTAGGGACAGAAAGGGGAGCCTGGTGATATTCCATATGTAAGAAACTACAACATATTGTTGACACCAAAATTCAGTGAATATATTTGCTCAACTTGATGTATTATTTTTTTAAATTTCTTTAGGTGGTTGGACTACCAGGACCTCAAGGACCAGCGGTTAGTTTTGTTTTTTTGCTGTTTTTTTTTACACTAATGTGTGTGAAAAGATAATGCATACATGAAAGAAAAGTAATGTTTTAGAGACATTATAAATTGTTTTGAGTGCATTGCTTCAGTTTAGACACTAGAGGGCACATAATGTCACAAGTGCGCAGTCTTAATTATAGGCTACAGAACGATAGGAAAAACACCACTTGAATATGTTGTGTTGAGACAGGCAGCCATGCATTATATATAATAACCATATATTGTGGTATGTGTTTGTGAATATGTGCAGGTACAATTTAATACATATTGTGCTTGCTCTACTTGTTTTGTTGTGGAAAAAAACAACATGTTCTTATGGTGGCTGACATTCTCTTCTTGGCAAAAAGCAATGTTTGAAAAGTTTAAAAAGCCACAGAGTTTCACAGCATTTAATTCCAAACCCGTGGTCATGGTCCAACTTTGTCTCTCAGGGTCCTCCAGGAGGTCAGGGCTCCACTGGACCAAGAGGATTTAAAGGCAGAAAGGTGAGTGTGCATCACTACATTTGACCAACAACATAAAACAATCTTTTTTTCTCCAAGACTGAGCTACTCCAGCCTCCACTGTTCAAGTTAGAACAACATTATGAGTTTGTAAGGACAAACATTTAGTGGATACTTCTTTGATACTTTGAAGTCTTTATTCCGAAAACACTTCCTAACAAATAATCTTCCCATGATGCTTTAGGATTCTTACACAGATTTCTGGATGTATGTGGTGTCTAATTAAAACAGCTCTATAATCAAACACACATCTTTTCTCTTTGGCGTTATGGTCTTTAGGGATTCCCAGGGCCTCCAGGGTTTGACGGAGAGCCCGGTATCCCAGGAAATCCAGGGGAGCCAGGACCCCCGGGTGAGGCATTAGCCCCAGGAGTGAGTTTCTCTCAGCCTCAATAAGTTCAACCAAAAATAAACAACCACAAATGTACAGTTGAATAGTTGAATTTGAACTAAATCTCATTTGAAAAGGGAAACCTGGCGTCACAGATGGCTGCAGGTTTCAATGAGAAGTCAACTTTGGCAGGGATGGTGTCAGGAACAAGAGTGAGGAACTTTTTATACAATGATAATATTAGTCAGGATCTTACTGTTCAATCAGTTCTTTAATTGAAATTGTGCTTCATTTAGGGTGAAGCAGGACCACGAGGACAGTCAGGGCAGCCTGGACCTCCAGTAAGTCCAGCAGGACTACCATAGCTTTGCTTTAACTCAGTAGATCTATAGTATTCTTAAAAGTTTCTATGCTCTTTGTATTCAACTGTGTTGTTCAGGGTCCAACTGGTGCTCAGGGAATTCCTGGAGAGGCTGGAGAACCAGGACAAATGGTGAGAAGGTTCATCTTTTACACTTCTTTTTAACTTCTCTATAACCCAGAATCCTTGGGTTTGTGTTAACTGAACAGAGTCTAAAAGGTTTTTCTATTTTTTCTCAGGGTGAGTCCGGTCATCGAGGACCTGATGGACCACCAGGAAAACCTGGACCTGACGTGAGTCAAAGAAACACAAATCCTGAGAAGAGACTGATCTTCCTGTTATGAGTCAACTGCTGGTCATTGTTTATAACATCACCTTCATTTGAATTGTTTTCCCATTAGGGAGAACCTGGAGCTGCAGGTGCCGCAGGAGAACCAGGATTTCCAGGATCAGCGGTAAATCTATCACAAAAAAAACTTAGCTCTATCACCCATTTTTTGGTTTGGATCAAACTAAAGCTTATCTAGTGGGGTAAGGGTAAGAGTACTGCAGTACAAAGATTTATAAAAATGCTTGTTTTATCCAGGGTGCAAGAGGATTTCCAGGCCTCCCAGGACTTCCAGGTCTGAAAGGTCACAAGGTGAATTTGTATTTGTTTTTGTCATTTGTTGAAATTATAATAAAGCATTTCATCAGTTTGTTTTTAATCTGAAACTTTAAATTTTAATATCCCTGCATCAGGGACATTCTGGTACCCTTGGACCACGAGGAGAAAATGGAGCAGTTGGAACCAAGGTGTGTGTCATTATTGGTACTACAGGATAGGTTCATACAAAACATTTATGCCTTTTATGCACTTTAAGTCAAATCACACACAAAAAGTTAAAAGTTAGATCAGAAATATCTGGAAGTAGCTTAGAAATAGCTGAAATATAGCAAGAAATGGCAAATGCCAAAGATAAAACATAATTCTAAATTATGTCAAATTAGAGCAAACATTATAAAAGGCCTAAATATTAGCCAAAGCTATAACTACACAGTTAAAAGTTGCATAAATTGTTGCATAAAAATGCAAAAAGAGGACCAAGAAAGGGAAAGCATAGTGAGTAAGATAAGCCATAATAGATTAAATTAGCTAAAAGAAGGCATAATATGGTATTTATTTTTTTCTTACAAGATAGCCAAACAAAAAATAAAATGCCCTGAAGCAATAATTTTGTTAAAGAAAAAAAATCATTAACAGAATTTGTAGAAGGTGATGGCTGAATGGAGACTCTCTAAGGCCTTGGTTTTGTGTATTTCAGGGTGCATCAGGATCTCCTGGTGGCATGGGCGCTCCTGGACCAGTGGTAGGCAACAAACAAGCACACACACACACACACAAACAGAATTTGTAGAACTAGAACCAGATCATAAAATATGATAATGTGTCTGTTACAGGGGCCTCCAGGTCAGCAGGGGGAGCGAGGCAGAGCCGGACCAAGTGGACCAGTGGTAAGCAAATTCAACCATCAACTCCATCACCACATGATCATTTGGGATCAAATATCTAAAGAGAATCTTCTTTCAGGGCAAACGTGGAACACCTGGACACGTGGGGAAGCCTGGTCCGATGGTAAGGACAGATTGTATTTTAAGGATTTTGTCTCCATGTATTTATTTATTTGTTGAAGCATCAAAGAGAACAACCTGTTCTCAAATTCCACGGCCGATCTATACAAATGAGCAAGTGTTGGTGACTGGTTCTGCCCCTATAGTTGTTCCAGGAATCATCAGTGTACTTTTTATACCTTTTTAGCTCCTGACCTGACCTGAATATATACATGAGGTACTTCATATATGACCCTTTCCTTGAGGACTTTACTCAGATGTAGTCCGGTTAACTTCTCACCGTTCCAAGTCTGAATGTAGAATATATTCAAACTTTATTACTGTGACTCCTGAGATTTAACTTGATAGTCCCAACTGTGACTTTTCATGGTATCTCAACACTTGATCACTAAGAAATCAACATCAACATTGTACTTAGACGAGGTTGTCAGGTCTTTGTAGAGCCACAGGAGCAAGAAGAATTCATTTTGTGATTATATTGTGGTTTTATATGATTTCATCCTTTTGTGATCTCAGGGTCCATTGGGAATCTCTGGCGTCCCAGGATTCCCTGGCAGCCCAGGAATGAAGGTGAGATTCACCACAACCTGATACAGAAATGTTGATGTTCTCTGGTTTTTAAGGTTATAAAAACACTGAATTTGTTTGGCATTGTCTCAACAGCTAAACTAGGCCGTACTTGAGTTAAGTGTTTGTTTGTTTGTTTGTTTGTTTGTTTGTTTGTTTGTTTGTTTTTTGCCCCAGGGTGAGGCAGGTCCAACAGGAGTAAGAGGAACCCCAGGACCACAGGGAGTGAGAGGAGATTCAGGACACGTAGGACCACCTGGACAACAAGGACAGCAGGTGTGTTTAAGCCAATTTTGATGATTATCCCAAGAGTAGAAACTGCATATTAACAACAGAAATATTTATTTGCATTAATCCATAACTGGTTGATAACAGGGTGCGGCAGGAACTGACGGAGGTCCTGGAGCTCGTGGTCAAACGGTCAGTAAATCTAAGATTGATTCATTTCACGGCAGATCCTTGGTTCTCTTTTTGAGTCCCACTCTTTTTTGTCCCCCTCTTCAGGGTCTGGCAGGTGTTCAAGGTCCATCCGGTTTGCAAGGTCCAGCTGGGGCCCCTGGTCCTCAGGGAACCACAGGAATAGAAGGACCCAAGGGTCAACTGGTAATATACTGTAACTTGTTAAAACGTTATAGTTTTGTCACATTTGTCAACTCTTCTTTAACCTTCCTTGATTTCACATTTAAAATGTTCTGTTACAGGGAGATGTAGGAGTGCCTGGATTCAAGGGAGAAGCTGGGCTCAAGGGAGAAAGAGTGAGTAAAGTTTCGGAGCTCTCTGTTGGTGTCTGCTAGAGAGAAAGCTTACGTGATCCAACGGTTGTGTCCAACCTTAGGGCGACCATGGTGCCCCAGGTCCATTAGGTCCACTTGGAGAGGATGGAAAGCGTGGACCACGAGGTGATGCTGGATCTATTGGGCCTCCAGGACCTGCAGGAGAGATGGTTAGTGGATCTCAAAAGAAGCCGTGGACAAAAAGAGCAATTTTAATAAATGTCCTGTTTTGTTGTAGGGAGTTCCAGGTCCTAGAGGTTTCCCAGGTGCTGATGGTCTACGAGGCCCAAAGGTGACCTGACTACACATCAGAAATGACACAGTGGCAGTTATGTTTTATGCAGTGTTTGACTGTGAGTCATCGGTGTTGTTACTGAACAGGGAGCCCAGGGAGAAAGAGGAGTTGCAGGTGCAGGCGGTGCCAAAGGTTTACCTGGAGACGTTGGCCGTGTTGGAGAGCCAGGATTAACAGGAGCCCGGGTAACACAAGCCAGAGAAAAACCCAACATTGACACTTTTTACTTAGGCAGTCATGTAACTGTGCTCCTGTTGTCGGTGGTCTTTCTCCCAGGGTTTGACTGGACCTATTGGAGCTCAGGGACCAGAGGGAAAACTGGGACCTCTGGTATGAAGACACCTTTTATCATTTCTTTACCGAGTGAGTTTTGTAACAGAAATTAATTTTTTCATTTTTCACCCTCTTGCAGGGTGGAGCAGGAGAGGATGGCAAACAGGGTTCAGCTGGTTCTACAGGTACCAGGGGACCTTCTGGACCAATGGGCTTGCCAGGACCAAAAGGCTTTGCTGTAAGTGGGAATACGTGTGATATTTCCCTGAAATAGTTATGTTGAAAAATGCACTAAGAAAATTAAACAAAATAATTTGAATAATTTGTCCACAAAAGTCAAACTTTGAGATGAAACAGTTCATTTATTGAATTAAGATTATAATGTGCTTTAACAGTGGTTATGAAGTAAACTGCTAAAAAGGCAGTAGAACAAGTCAGATAATGTGCATTAGCCAGTCTAGACCATGTTGCAAAAACCAATGGTACAAATACAGCCCTTTTCTCCAGGACATTTTACTGAAAGTTTGATCATTGTACTTTTACATTTTTCTAGGGTGATGCTGGAAAAATTGGAGAGGCTGGAAGTCCTGGACCTCCAGGTGCAAGGGTAAATGTCTGTTTGTGGATGGAATGTGAATGAACATGTACAATTTATTGTTGAACATTTTCAAACTTTTATTTTTTCTAGGGACTGAATGGAAAAGATGGAGAAGAAGGTGCTGCTGGACCAACAGGCCCAGCTGTAGGTTTCATCCTACTTACGTCAATATACAGAAATAATCAAATATACTGCAGTAAAACAATAATAATATCTGCTTTATTACATTACTGCAGGGCCCTGCTGGGAAAAGAGGTGAACATGGCCCTCAGGGAGTGAATGGCTTCCAGGTAAACAGTAGCCTTTAATTACCAATTAGTTATTAATTCATACATCATCTAAGGGTGTAAATGAAGTGGATTGGTGTTTTTTAGGGCTTGCCTGGAACTGCAGGCCCACCTGGAGAGCCTGGAAAACCTGGTGATGAGGTAAACAAGAACTAAAAACAACACAGAGTGTGATTTTATCAGGAGATTTAATAAATGTAACTGTGCCAAACAAAAACACTGTAAAACCTTTTTTTCAGGGTCTTGCTGGAGAGGTTGGACTTGTTGGAGCTACTGGTACCCGGGTGGGTCATTAAGTTTTCATCCAGTTTATTCACTGGTCGAGTCTCATAATTTTGTGTCCAGAATAATTACTTTTTCTATTGTGTGTAAACGGTTAAATATTGCTGTTCGTCATTTCCCAATGTTTGACCCTGCAGGGAGAAAGAGGCCCCCCAGGAGAGAGGGGTGAAATCGGTCCAAATGGACTGCATGGTCCCAAAGGTAGTCCAGGTGGACCTGGAACAGATGGACCAAAGGTGCTACAAAGTTTGATTTACATAACTGACATCCTGTACAAGGTTATCATTCGTAAATGTGTGTGTCTATCCTTTGTACTTCAGGGTAACCCTGGGCCGAAAGGGGCTGTTGGTGAGCCAGGGGGTCCAGGACTACAGGGCATGCCAGGAGAGAGGGGTATATCAGGACCTTCAGGACCTAAGGGAGATGTTGTGAGTAAAAGAATAGGATAAGGAGAACAGACCTTATAGGAAAAATCTGCAAACAGCATTTTTACAAAAGGGAAAAATCTTATTTAGAGAACAAATACTTCAAATCATTTTCCTACTTTACACACCAGTATTTATGTTGTATAGAATGATAAAACTGGTTTCTTCCATCAGGGTTCTGTTGGAGAGAAAGGACTTGAAGGTAAAGCTGGTGCTGATGGGGCACGGGTGAGTACCAGGACTTAAAAAACAGTTCTGAAGCAGCTAAATATTTGTTTGATGCCTCTACATTTATCCATTTCATTTGTCTTTTAAATCAGGGACTTCCTGGTGCTGTAGGACCTGTTGGCCCCAGTGGACCCAATGGAGATAAGGCGAGTTTAAAAATCAGGAGGATTTGCTGGATTTGTGTTTATGTGGTGAATTTGACGGAACTGTTGCTGTATTTTAGGGTGAAACAGGTCCACAAGGACCTACAGGACGCAGAGGCTCTCGAGGAATTGCTGTCAGTAATTTTGGTTTTTGTTTAAAAATAAAATAGACATAAATCTGTTTATGGTGTTAATATGTTTTGCATGTGTGATTGTTTTTAAAGGGTTCATCTGGAGAACCTGGTCCAACTGGTGCTGTTGGATTCCCTGGAACAGGTGTAAGTATACGCTGACGACACTGTGTGTTTCATACTTATAACAAAAATAGAAACAGACTTGGTTAAAAAGATAAATCGCTGATTTTTACCCCTAGGGTGTAGATGGCCAGCCTGGCGTTAAAGGAGAGACAGGTGAATCAGGTCCAAAAGGAGAATCAGGACCACCAGGACCTCAGGGACAAGCAGGGAAACCAGGAACCCAGGTATAATTCTCATGATGGTCAAAAACAATCCACCACCAATAAATAAATATATATAATATTCTCTTGAAAGATTTTATCTGAACACCACTGACAATGTTGCTCTTCTAGGGACCTGCTGGTGTGGCTGGGCTGAAGGGTGCCAGAGGAACCCAAGGTCCAACGGTAGGACGGTACAAACTCCTGTAATGTCACAAAGTATTACTAAGAAGTCATGATTGTTAAACATATTTTCCCACCGCAGGGATCTCCTGGTTTCCCCGGGTTGCCTGGAGGAGTTGGACCTACTGGTACTCTTGTGAGTTCTTGAAGTGCCTAAAACAGGTTCAACAATACACTTGGTACTGGCTAGTACTGAATTTTGAGGTGTGCCTGTTTGTTAGGGCCCTGTCGGTGCTGACGGACCTATTGGTGCTCCAGGAAAACAAGGTCCTCCAGGAATAAGAGGAGAGAACGGAGCTACAGGAAGACAGGGAGAGGCAGGACCTGCAGGTCTACCTGGCAGCCCTGGAGAGAAGGGAGACTCAGGAGAGGACGGTCCTCCAGTAAAGCCTAAAGTTTAAAGTTCAGACTATTATGGAAGAGCAGCGTATAAAAATAGTTGAAGCTCATCTTCTTTTTGTTCGGTTTCTCTCTCAGGGCCCTGATGGTCCTCCAGGACCAGCTGGAGCCCAAGGACAAGGAGGTGTTGTAGGTCTGCCTGGACTGAGAGGAGAGCGAGGCATGCTGGGACTGCCAGGTCCTGCTGTATGTAGATCTGCTTATTGTTTTGATGCTTTGAATGTTAATTATTGTCTCATGTTTGTCTCTAAAAGACACTGGTCATTGTCATTTGACTTCCTTCAGACAGATATTTGTTAAGTGATGATAATTAAAAAAAAAGTACTAACAAGATCATATGTCCAAGTGAACTAATGTAACATTCTAGCTTAATGTCTAACAGCACATTCAGCAGTGGGTTCTGCCCCAGCCTTTATAAATGTAGCACCACATTGCAGGGTGATCCTTATTTGCAAAGCAAATATTATCAAGGTTACATTTCACATTACATCTAATCTTTGATAACCACACTTGTTACCATTTAAACATCAAAGAGAATTTAACAGTAGAACTAGCATCTAGTGACTCAAATGTTTCTACAATATAACTTCTCTAACCTTTACCAAATGGGCAGCTGTGCTTAACTTGTGGCTCAGACATGATAGCGGTCTGCTAGTCACGTAGATGTACATCCAACTGTATATCCAGAGAGCATCCATAGGTGGGGTTAGTAGTGTGGGTGGAGTTAAGTGTGGAATCATTACAATCAGTGTATGTGACATCACAAAGTGCGTGAAATTGAGTTGTTGGAATATGTGACCCAAAACCATGACAAAGTCAACTTAGCATAATATGTCCTGTTTATGTAAAAGTTCCTAAAAGCCAATTCTTTTTCTGGAATTGGTAATAAACATGTTTTCTAGTGCAATAAAGTATTTTTGAATATAGCAAAACTAAGGTCAGAGTTTTTGCTCCTTTGTTTCATAGGGGCAACCTGGAAAACCTGGAGCTCCTGGAACACAGGGCAGCAAAGGACCAGCCGGTGGAGTTGGGTTACCAGGAGCCATTGGACCGAGAGGAGACCCAGGCCCTGAGGTTTGTCTTGAACAAATTATAATTCTACCTTTTGAAACTGTTGTTGCTTAAAAATCTATTTTCTTTTGCTGATGAGTCACTTATCTACACCTCCATTCAGGGTGTTGCTGGAGAGGAGGGAGTTCCGGGTAAAGATGGTGTTCTTGGACAAAGGGTGAGTCAACAAATACTTAACTTTTAATATCTGATATCACAATGTAGCTCTAACCACTGATGTGTGAATGTTCACAGGGAGATAGAGGAGATCCTGGTCCTGAGGGACTACCTGGTGGTGCAGGGTCTCCTGGTACAGAGGGTCCAGTGGGATTCACGGGTGGTCCAGGATCAATCGGTGAACCAGTGAGTCCAGACCCCATATTTTAGTCAGAATAGTCTCCTCTGATTACTCTAGTCAGTTATATTCCAGTCCTTTTGATGATAATGTCTCAGTTATCGATCCTTTCTCCTTCCAAATTTAGGGTTCCAAAGGCTCTGCTGGTCCACAGGGAGCTGCTGGAGTACGGGGCAAAGTGGTAAATATGAGCTGCTGAATTTTGTGTTTCTCTTTTTAGTTACCATGACTTTTTTTTTTCATGTTTTAATGTCGAAATTCATGTTGTAATGTAATAATTCTTCTGTCTTTGTAGGGCCCTCAAGGGCCACAGGGAGAGAAGGGAGCTCTTGGAGACCAAGGAGAGAGGGGTCAGAAGGGACACAGAGGTTTCACTGGTCTCCATGGTCTTCCTGGCGACGCAGTACGGAAGATAAAAAATATCTGAAATATGAACCACTTTTGAAATTTAGAGACATCTTCTTAGATAATTTGCTTCTGTCAATCAAATTAAGGAAACATCATTCCTGACATAAATTATCTTTTTCAGGGTGCCACCGGTGACCCGGGAACCATAGGTATCGTCGGACCATCTGGTTCCAGGGTATGTGTATGATGTCAAGGTTCAATGAAATTTTATTTTTAATGTATTTCTCTTGTCTCAGTGTAAACTTCATATATTCTTTCAGGGTCCTCCTGGAGTCACAGGTCCTCCTGGTAAAGAGGGACACATTGGTCAACCTGGACCAATGGGTGCTCCTGGAAGCAGAGGATCCATAGGAGACCTCGGAGAACAGGTATCATAAGTTTATCAGCTAGACTGTAGATTTCAAAAACACAACAGGAATTAATTGGACTGTCCTCGACTTTAACAGGGACCAATTGGTGAACCTGGACCCCCTGGTCCTCCAGGCCCCCCAGGACCTCCAACTGCAGCCATGGAAGACCTCTTTGCTGAGATGGCATATGACATGAAAGGCATCGTGCCAGCTGAGGAGTTTGTGGAGTACGACACAGAGGCGGATCCTCCTCCACCGCCAGAGTTTAATGAAGACGAAGCTCTTCCAAATAAGAACATCCTGCATGCAGACACCGGTGTTCAGGCCACACTGAAGACCCTCAACGGACATCTGCAGAACCTGCGCAGTCCTGATGGAAGCAAGATGAACCCGGCCAAAACCTGCCAGGACATCAAGCTGTGTTACCCACAGAAAAAGAGCGGTGGGGAGACTGTTTTATTTCAGTCATTGTTCTTTGGTTTTTCTGTCAAAATAAGAAGAAGGTGACAGTGTTTTCACATACATTGGTTACATACATTGGTTTGCATAGATCATGACATGGATCTAGCTCCTTGATGAGCTCACTTTGATTTATAGAAAATGGATATTAGGAATCCATCTGTATTCTTCAAGACCATGTTACCTTCAATCCATCAAATATCTGTCTTATGTTTAGCATTTAGATTTAACATTTTAAATTTAGATTAAATGTGGTAAAAGGTGATTTAAAATATCAGTTTTGGTGGTAACAGGTTAGAAATAACAGTGTATACTTTGGACTGAAACAAACCAGGGATTCACCTCCTTTCATTCCTTTCCTTTGCGACAGGTGATTACTGGCTTGATCCAAACCAAGGAAGCACCAAAGACGCCATCAGAGTGTTCTGCAACATGGAAACTGGTGAAACCTGCATCTCAGCAAACCCCTCAAATGTTCCCCGCAAAGCCTGGTGGACCAAGTCCACTCCCAGTGCCAACAATCCTGTCTGGTTTGGAGCCGACATGAACAGTGGAACTAAAGTAAGGCCACCAAATACTGAACTTTTTCATTTGAGCATTAAAAAAAACACTTTCTGTTGTTCTGTTGTGATCCATGTCTTGTTTTTAGTTCACATATGGATCCAAGGAGGAGCAATCCAATTCCGTAGCTGTTCAGATGAAGCTGCTGCAGCTCTTGTCCAAAGAGTCGCACCAGAATGTCACCTACCACTGTAGAAACAGTGTGGCCTACAAAGATGCCAAGAACAGCAACCTAAAGAAAGCCCTGGTCTTCAAAGGCACCAACGGTCAGGAGCTGAGAGCACAAGGCAACAGCAGGCTAAGATATACTGTCATCGAGGACGGCTGCTCGGTAAGTCAGCAACTCTAGAATTGGTCCAGGATATGAAGTGCAGACATTTAGCATCTTATTCTTTACTTTAGCAACCAGATGGAACCTGGGGCCAGACAGTGATCGAGTTCAGGACTCAGACCCCAACCAGGCTCCCCATCGTAGACTTTGCCCCCCTGGACATAGGAAAGCCTGATCAAGAGTTCGGCCTGGACATCGGCGCCGTGTGCTTCTCATAAACAGATGGACTTCCAACACGGCTGCCATCGCCATTTACAGTGTATCTACTGGAACTGCATACACACCAGTGATGTGGGACTGATGGGATACTGAGCTTATTTATTCACACCACCAGTAATTTTTTTTACAACGTGGAGCATAAAGTACTCTGCAGGGAAATACATACCTGTGGGTGAAAAATATAAAAGAAACGAAAGAGAGAAAGAGAGAGAGCTCTGTAGTTCTGACTGACTGGTTGCAAAACTGGAAAAAAAAACAGGAACATTCAATCTTATCATAATGTGATGTCTATATTTCCGGGACATGGCCTTACTTTTTATTTATGGTGTTTTCTTTCCAGTTATTGCATGTGAAGAAGTCTGGATAGGATTTTTTTTTATCATTGCAATGTAGGTATTCATTTTAAGGGAATTAAAAAAGTAAGTCATGCTGAAAACTAAATTATTCTGTTTTGTACAATTAATTTTCAAATAACAGAAGAAAACCTTTATATCTCCTTCATAACAGTGTAAATGCAATGGAAGGCTGTAAATTGCGACTTTTTATTTGTTTATTTTTGATTGTAGATGTGGAATAAACATGTGGAAAAAAATGAATAAACACCTGGTTTCCCCTCATGAGCAGCAAACATTTGCTGTGGAATTTGAATTAAGAAAGGATTTCATGCTTTTCCAAAGTCCAGCTTTAAGGCCATATATTGTTGGGGTTTTGTTTTTTATTTATTTGCTGAAGAAAGTTTAAGTATGAATTTATGTGGCTTCTTGACATTATGAGATAACAAGGCTTTTTAATTTTTGCTAATTAATTATTCAATATATTAGGGAAGTTTTTTGTGGTTTAATTTTTTACCCAAAAAGCTTTGTGCGCTAATTAAATGTGTTTGGATTCAAGACATTCGGAAGCACGCGTTTGTGGCCACTTAACCACTAGAGGGAGACAACATTTCCTTCCACCGAGCTTGAATTTAAAGCCAAGTGTTTTCACCTGAGAACAGGTATTTTACCGCTTTCATTCGATGGTTCAGGAAAAGAAAAGCAGCAACATGTCGATGTTTAAAAGAAATTAATGGTCAATATGTAGAGGTAGTCTTTTCAAAAATAGTTTTAATTCAACTATTTGAATAACACTGTGCAAAGTAATGAAAAACCTCTCTTTTTGCCTTGCATTTATCCTCAGTTTTGGTGTGACTGCATGCACGTGGGTGTGTGTGAGAGCAAAAGAGGTGAAAAGGGAAAAGAAAATAAAGAACCAGAGAGGGAGAGAGGGAGAGCGGCAGCAAGAAGACGCCCTAACCGGAAGAGGAGTCAGAGTTCAGGTAACACATTTTTCAGGGGCGACCTCTCCTTTCAACATTCGCTGAAAGACGTGACACTCTCACCGTTTCCTGCAGGCCTCGGCCTCGCTCCACATCTGTCCACGGTGGTCATTTTTAGCCCGGGGGGCTGCTATTTTCATGTGAGAGAGGTAAAAGTTGGGGGAAAGTGCTTCTCCTGCATCTCTACATAAAAGAACTCACCATCTGTTCTGTGCTATCATCAAATGCATTGCATAAGGACGGAAATCTTTTTTTTTTGTGACCCAGGTGATCGGATGTTTGTAATGTTGGCCAAGGTGTTTTATTCACTTGAGGCTCCAAAAATGAGTAGCATCAGTGCAAACAGGGTAACAGTGGTCAGCTGCACTCTCATGATTGGTACCGTTCATGATGCCGAGTCAGTAGATTAATAAGTGCTGAGATTGTCAACCGTGTGTCCTGTCAAAATTGTGTTGAAATTAGGAAATAAAAAGTCAAAAAGTCACAGCTCTTTTTTTATGTTAGTCAATCTATTTGTGAGAAGACAACGAGCCTGTCACTAGACCGTCTTAGTGAACTTTACCATAATAAGGATCCTTAGTTCTTTGGCTTCTTCTCTCTGCTGATCTGACGTAGCCTCTGATGTTCATGACCTCATCACTTGGAGGTGGACGACTGAAGAGCTGTTGGAGGAGTCTGGATGAGATTTTCCAGCTACGCCTTTTCCTTCCTGTCCACCTCCCAACCCCCTCACTGCGCCTACACCCCCCAAAACCACTTGAAGATCACTGGGATAAGAACCTTGGGAAAAGATTGGACATGAAAAACTAAAAAAAGGAAGGTTTGGGTTTAAATAAGGTAATGTGGTATTTTACACTAAGCATGAAGGTCCAAGACCTTCTGAACTTCTTCTGAACTTCTATAATTCATATATAGATGCACATTTAGCACAATAAATAAAAAATAGGTTGAATAATTATTGGAAATGACTGATGCAAAAAACAACATCATTTAATACAACTTTCAGCTATTAAGCGTCAACTGTGTGTGTGCTGTGCTTAAGCAGTGCTCGTGTAAATAAGGTTAGCTGCATGTTAGCGTCATGCTAGCAGTCTAATGGATCTACTAACACACTTGGCCCTGTTTCATCTTTAGGCTTCAGCAGCAGTGGTGAATATTGTGATCAACTGTGTACCAACAGAAAAGACAAAGATTAATTGATGTAATCTTGTTGCCTTTTAGGATCTAAATTCTCATCCAGAGTTTGGACCATCAATGTAAAGTTCTCAAGAACTCTGAAGAAACAACTTCCAAAGTTTACCTCTGAGATGAAAGGCAGTGGAAAACATCTAAATTTAACGTGATGAAGTCAGAATTTCCTCGTGAAATTAAAATACTTTTACATTTAATTATGGGAACTACAGTGACAGTTAATCTAGGTAGTTCTCTGGATTTTTAGTGATGATTAGAGACTGAGATTTATTAACCTCTGTTTAACCCATCTCTGAGGTCCTGGCGGGATATGGTCACTGAAGTGCCTGGCAGGTCCAGGGTGGTTTACCACCAGGGCTCTATCCGCACACAGATTCTCTCCAGTTTTCCACATTTCCTCTCCTTTCATCCGTGAGGATGCACGGAGCACATGAAGTTTGACTTTTAGCTCCCTATCTGGCCATGGCCTTCCTGTTTGGATGGTCTCATTGTTATTTAATTAGTCTGAATATTAAGAGGCTCAAGTGTGGCCCATCTTCAACGTGACATTTCATTGTACATGTGTGATATAGGTTTAGGTTGTTACGCTAAGCAAGTCTGTAAATCTGTCTCAAATCAGGACGTGCTGCACTTGAACATCACAGTCCAGCCTTTTTTCTGATGGTGGCTGCCAACACACACACACACACATACACACTGACAGTGACACACTCACCCCTCCTCCAACACTAAAGTGGATGCCGATCGAACAGGAAATAGGACGCTGAGCTGAAACATCCCACCTTTTTTTTCCCCAGATCCTAGGAGGAGCCTGGGCCTGGTGGCAGCAAGAAGAACAATGACAGGAAGCAGGGAGCGGTAGAGGGAGTTCCTGTTGGCAGGATGATGCTGAAGACAAGAGCGAAGAAGTTAGCCTCGAACAAGTGGACACCAGCCCATGGCTGTGGTCAGTGGGAGGTCTGCTCTTTACAACGTGGAGAAACCTGTTCCAGGTATTTTAGAAGAGTTTGATTCCAAATGAGATATTTATGCAATATATTCTCTCCACTGGCAATTTGCCAAAGGATATTATATTACTTAAAAACTTATAAAAACTATGGGGGAAATGATTGAAATAACCAGAATGTACAGCACTGACTTTGGTAATAACCTATGGGCTAATGGACTGCACTAAAAAGCCACTGGAGAATTCTTATTTAAAATCATAGATAAACAACAATGAACACTGTTGAACAAAGGCCTAACCTGATCAACGGTGGTTGTACATGATGATTATCTGTCTGGAACGCCACCAACCACCAATGGAATCACACTCCAAAACTCCATGTCTTATGCAAAATACATTTCATATAACATTTGAGTTAGAGCTGTAGTGTAAACGAGAACATATTCGTATAGATTAGTTGATTAAAATTCTGACATGGAGCTCAGGAAGTCCGACATTTGTGTACAACTTGAACGCAGCATTATTTGTATCACACAAACTGAACATTATTACTGTACTCTGTTCTCCCGGCGATGATTGTCACCTTATGTCAGGGCAGTGGTGGTGTAGAGGGTGGGTGGAGTGGATCTGGGTCACTATGTATCTGGGGGGCAAATGCACTCCAGTCCCTACTGTCATCTATGTGCATGAGTGTGTTTAGAAAAACTGCAGACAGTGATCGAATCTCATCTTAGAGACATATAGTGACATATTCTGGAAAAATACGTATATTTCCAATTGAAACAATACAAATTCCAGGTCATGATGTAAGAACTAGTGATGTGCGGATCGATCCTGAAATATCGATACTTCCGATTCTGGATCTTTATGCTCTGAAATCGATTCTGAAATCAAAATATCGATACTTACGCATTCTGAGATGAGGTGTATCCTAAACAGAAACACGGTGAAAAGTATCCAAATTATTGAGATGTTGTCTAAGTGACGCTCGGTTGGTGGGACTACTTCTTCTTCCGCCTGGGTGT